AGAATTCAGGATCCAAATGAATAGTATCACAGTATCTCCAAGTAGTTTTGTATGGACACAGCCTTATCGTGTTTTCGTAGACACATTTTTATTGGGAGTCCAAGAGCAAATCATATCCTTTCAAAAGTGCTATTTGGACTAGTTTTCCCTAAGGTGGTCAGATAAATGCAAGAATCCAAAATTACTACTCACCATAGCCTGTAAACTGTAGGTTGCGGGACACTTGGCAGGCTTTTTTATTGTCTTTTCCCTTATCACATATTCCATAGCACATCATTAGAAAATGTAAACACTCAAAATTCATCCTGTAAAACCTTTTTGAAAATGGAAATTGTATGACCATGACAATTTTAAAAGTCCAAACTATTTTGTAAAAAAAAAAAAAAAAAAGAAGAAGTTAAGTTCAGTATATTTGCTTTACAGTAAACTTCTATAACACATTTACACTTTTATTATCACTTCTGTAAAAAGAGACCAACCGTCTGTAGTCCAGCAGATTCATGAATTATAGCCTTTTAAGTTCAGATCTATGATTAAAAAGCAGGTGACGGCTTACGTGATAATTCCATTGCTTAAAGTTGTGTCATTGTAATCACCTATGGGGCCTATTTCAAAAGTGACTTCTGTAGTGCCCTTATTCACGTAAAACTATACAGAGATCCTGATCCCAACTCTTCACCAACTGAAATGGCATTTGTTTAGAAAATGAATTCTGTTTGAAAACAGCAACTCTCAGACACACAGAGAGCAACATATAAACCTCAAGAATCACTTAGTGACAGAGGGAGATCAAGCTGGATTTGGTATTTAGGCGTCTTTCGGCGGACCCTCAATCTGAGAGCGACTGCACACGAGTGGGATTTCTCTGCCGTCCTCTCCTCTGACTGTAATCAAATGCGGGACGTGACTGGATTTACAGTGGGAATCTGGCACTAACTGCTTGTCTGGCTTGGTGAAGCGCTCGACTAATACAGCAGGGCCTTTCTGATGAATGAGAGCTGGCTGGAATCTATCAGCCGGTGATATTATCTATCAGGAACGGACTCTGTCATTCAGTGGCTCTCTGAGGTCAATAAAGGAGCCGTCTGTTGGGGTGATGGATGGAGGTAAGGCATCAATACAAAAACTTGGCTTTGAGTCCAAGGAGAGAAGCTCCGGTGTGGCACAGTTTGTTTTTATTTACTGCGATGTTTACCGAAGGTTGAGGTTGTGCTGTAAAACTGCCGGCTGCTCAATCAACAGCTGAGCTGGTGAATTTGAATCTGTGGAAATTCATTTTATCCTGAAAGAAATAGATGGATGGGTGCACAAATACCTGCAAATTCGCCAGTACGAAGGTGTGGATGAAACAGTAGGTATGGTGCTAGGTCAGCGTGGGTGTACAGCTGTATTTCTGACTCTGCCCATTGGATCCCAAGAGCTCCAAGGTTGATGTGTGGCCATGAAGTATCGGCTCCTCCGGGAGACTAATAGCTCCAGTAATGAAGCGTCGTTTGACTGTGTGATTCATTCAAACACCCAAATCTTTATTGCCGTGTTTGTAAGGGCAGGCCGTATATCAGCATAGTCCTCGGTTGGTCAGTGTGACCTTGTTCTGTCGTGCTGTTCGCAATTGGTGCTGGTGTGTGAACTTAGGCAGAAGAGAACCCACAAAATCATAGTAGAATTTTTTTTTCATAGAAAATTTTTTATATAGAATTTTTTTTTCTCTTACAAAATAATCTATAACGTTCTCAGAACTTTAGATAATGTTCTGGCAAGGTTATCTCAAAGTTAAGAACAATTTTTGGTAACACTTTATAATAACTACACTCTAATAAATAAAGCTATAAATGCTTTCTTCTTGATTTAAAAGCATATCTATAATTTATTTAATAATTGTATTTTCATCCTTTATTAATGATCAATTTATCATTTCTAAATGAAGAATTGCACTTTTTATGAACCAGTTATTTGAAAGTTTTTATTGGTTCATATGATTACTTAGAACATGTAAGTAAATGATTAATAAACTATTTAAATGTACATTCATACACCTTATTATTCAGACATAAAGTGATGGTTACTTACTGTGGTAATAAATGCTTTATTAACATGTATTAATGCTGTAATTCAGGGTTAATTTGGGTAGTTATAAAGCATTTAGTAGTGGTCAGTTAACTATGTTCGTGAGCTCATCTAAAGTGAGGACTATTCATGCCTTGTAAAGCATTTATAAAGGAGATTTAAAGGCTGTTAAATATTTCTATGTTCTGTATCACTGTGTTGTGTTTGTTACATTTTACTATTTAGAAGATTGATGAGCCTTTAAATCTCCTTTGTAACTGCTTTACAAAGCATGAATTGTCCTCACTTTAGATAGTCAACACAAAATAGTCAGCTGACCACTTCTAAATGCTTGTATTTACTACAGTACATTTAATTACACTTTCTAAGTGATCTTATGAATGACTGACAACTCTTAAATAACTGGTTTATAAATAATGCGGTAACACTTTAC